TATTTCATCGGGGGGGAGGAGGGCTTGTCATTCCCCAACCTCACCCTCTGGAATTTCAGTAATTATTCAATTTGGTTGGGTACCCTCTAAAAGAATACTCAGACCCCCCTGGAAAAAAACCTGTGTAAGCCACCCCCTCGGAAATTGCCTACTTTTGGACCCCCCTTCCCTCGATAATTTCAAGGGATATATTTCTTATGGTGTATTCTCTAAAGCACAAAACTCATACTATAATGGGCCACTTCCGAGTTCCAAAACCCTCACTTTCAAAATGAGGCTAGGTGCACAACCTTTCTTGTGAAAATGAGTTTTACGGACCAATGTAGATTTTTGAACATCTGGTGCACACTTAGAAGAGTCTTTGCTCCCAGGTGGGTTAGGCTTTCAAAAGCGGCATGAAAGTTAGAATCAGAGGAGAATAACAAATGAAAACAAGTCAGGAGGTTGTCGATGGGACAGGAGTTGACAATTTCGATTCATTGGTCTTGATGAAAGAAGTGTCCGCCCCACGGTGGAACAGGTATTGTTGTTGGTAGTAGTGACTCGGATGGTTTTTTCTTCTCCTTTTTCATCAAACTTAATATCTTTCGTTTTAATCTTTCAAAAGTGTCTCCTGTTAATCTTGCGTCACTTTCCAAGAGAGGTCGAATTTGAAGATCTGTTGGCTTGTCACCATGGCACTTCTTAAGGAATTCTGCGACAGCTTCCTCCGCCTGATCACTAAATCTGCATTTCCATTTTCTTTTCAGTGGTTCCGATCTCTGCTTACTATTAGATGGATGTCCTCCGGCTGAGTGGACTTGTGGACGTTGACAAACTTTTCCAGGATCATACTTTGGCCCCTACTCAATTTCAGAGTTTAACAGGTTTGCTTGTTTTTCGATCTCCGTGTCTGTCATGGAACACAAGGGCACTTCGTCATCTTCTGCTTGGTTTTCCTTTTTGTCTGTCTTGGCTTTATGCTTGCTTGATGTGGACTTCGAGAAAATCGCATCCTTCGCTTTCCATGTGTGTTCCATAACTTTACGACGGATGCCTTCCTGACATAATGGGCAGACTGAATCTGGCACACATGAAAAGTGAAAAGAATGTCCGCATCCTTTGAATACACGCCATTTGCCTCCTTGTACTTGACAGCTGTGGAGGTCACATTCTCTGCTTGGATCTGGCTGGTCCTCTTTTTTCACTGACAGGTGAAAGGTGCACGGCAATACCTTATCTTTCTTAGGTTTGGTACCAAACAGAAAAGGAAGGGTCCACTCTTGTCGTTCTCCCATTGCGGAAAGTTTGGATAAGGAGCTGTGTGGCTTGCAGATGATATCGAAGAAAATAGACTTTAACACTTGTGCTGCTTTAAGTTTTGCTGCTTTGAGTTGATTGCGGGAAAGAATATAGTTCTTGGGGGGGAAGAAGGTTCTTCTGTATTTTTCTTGTCAATGCTTAGAGGCGAAGATGGAACGGCAGGTTTTGGTTATTTCTTCAGCTGAACTATGCGGGTTCGTCTGGTCACGAATAACGGAATGGAAGTATTCAACAGGATATTCAGTGAAGGAAACAATAGAACTCTTTAGAGTTAAGAGGAAGGGGTATGAGATTTTTTCCCAATAGAGAATGCTAGACAGAAAAACCAGTGGTGACTTGTCATAGTGGTGGCGACCAAAGCAAAGAAACATAAGCCAGATTCTCTTTAGGGCGGAAATGTACAGTTGAAAGTTGTTGGAACGAAAGACAACAGCATAAATTGTTAGAACTAGAGGAAAATAGTTATCAAGAAAATTGATTAGGGTAAGAAATTGGAGGTCTTTACATCAATCTCCAAATACACTTAAAATACTTTCACGGATTAGGCTCCAACCACCATAACACAACTCGAGGATCAGTGCAATTTTCCAGGGTTGACACTTCTCTGCAGCCAGTGGCTTGTTCTTTCCAAAGACACTCTGGTACACATTAAGGAGAAGTTCAAAGTATTCTTTGAAAACGTTTTCTTGTCCATTCAATGACACCTGTAGAGGTCCCAGAAGGGGCACCAAGCTAGATTTAATTGATTCATTGCATGTTGAACTGTAAACAATCTTTCGAGGATAAAACTGGGCTGGCCAATCCCCAGGTTGTGGAAGGATTAACATTTTGCTGTACTGTTTCATCTTGGTACTCGTGACTTTCTCAATTGCCTTTCTGAAATCCGATTCTTTGTGTAGTGGTAACTCCATGCAGTCGATTAGCATAGTTCCATTCATTTTGCGCATTTTCAAAAAATCTGTTTGTTATCCAAGGCGCGTCTTTTTGGCAAGCTGTTGTGAAGGTGTGACTGCACAGCATTGTTATTTGTCCGTTCGATGACATGTTCGAAACAAGTTCGTCCAGAAGCACACCTGACGGGTTGTTTACTGGTCTGGCCGCGTCTTTTTTCACCGCCGGTATTTCGTATCGTTTCAAAAGCAGAGTGCACATCTTATTTGATGTAGAGGTATCATGAATGGGCCTTTTCTTTGTGTGA